TCCTGGAGGACAACCTGATGCAGGTTATATGCACAAATTAAAAATGTGAGTTTTATCCCGATGAGTAAATCATTTTCCATCACTCTGTAGATAGATAGATACTAAATGCTCCAGAGTAGATGCAGTGATATATGTTGTTCTTACACATGCTTTTGATTCTGTAATCAGTCCAAATATCTGCAAAATGTCTGAAAAGTGACAATAAAATCACTTCTTTCTTTGTTTGCTTTCATGTGTTGTATTCTTCGTTCTCAGAGCTCCTTCAGTGCTACATAAACACTCGTATTGTCAGGATGAGTTAGAGACGTGAGAACAAAAGCTGAGCCTGATAGAAAAGTAATCAGAGTAAATACATTATCCTGAGGAGTGAGCACGTTGGCATTACTCTGACACGTTAGAGATACGCTCTGTTTCCAGGACTGATGATGATGATTACCAGTCAAGGAGGCCGATCACGGATATGTGGAGCCGATATTCATTTGCAGTAAAAGTGAAAATGTTTGTGTCAACATTTTGAATAATACAAACTCCAACACCTCATTTAACGGGTCAGCAGGGACCCTGTCATTCAGAACCAGGCTGCTGCTACGAATGATTCATGTCACTGCAGCTGAAAACAGTCGGACAGCAACAGGACAGACTGCTCATCCCTGAACACCATGTCGGCGTCATGATGCAGGGACATCAAGTCTGAGGTCTTGAGCAGCAACATCCTGCTCCTCTCTACAGAAACCATCAGACAGCCTTCATGTGACAACAGGTTCTGCTGCTCGGGATCTCAGTCAGCACAGAAAAAGGCAAACGGACCTGGTAGTTAAACAGACACTATTGCCCCACAGTTTCCTCAGCTTCTGCAGCTTCTCATGAGCCAGCAGAGAGGTCCTGGGCTCACACTGCCAGTAGCTGGGTTGGAGAGGACTGGGATGTTACGGGTTCTGCTGATATCACTGCTGATTGGCTGCTGCCCAGCCGTGGCTCTGCGGTAACCAATCAGATGGTGCTGTGGGCGGGACCCTGCTGCAGACAGGAGGCGTCAAGCCTGAAGAACCCGGTTCAGATCGACCTCTGGTCTCTGATTCCTCATTAAAGTAAAACCTGGAACATTATTGTGATGTTAGAACCTGATCCCTGTTATACACAGCTCTGGTTTGTTTGGTTCTGGTGGTTCACATGTATGATGGTTCAGGGTTCTTTTGAATTATATTATATTCCACAGAAGGGTGGACAGAATAATAGAAACACCTCCTGCAGCTCATTGGTTTACAGTTAATCAGTGTGCTTCACTGACCTTCATCAGAAAGCCAATGACTCTGTTTCATATTTAAATCACCACAAACAGTCTAAGAGCCTCGGATTCACTGCAGTTTATTCCTGTTTGTGTCTTTCACACATTTTCCAAACAGGAGTTATCTCTGGACAGCTCTCTGCGCCTCTGCTCGGGTCTTTACGGTACCTGGAGGTTCGGCTCTCTGCGCCTCTGCTCGGGTCTTTACGGTAGCGGCTGTTCCTTCTGCTGCGGTTCTGTTCGGTGCCAGAACCTCAGTGACGCTGGACTTCTGGACTCTGTGTGATTCATCCTCAGCTCTGCGGCTTTTCTCTCTTTATTTGCAGAACATCCTCCGCCGGTCCGTCCGCCGGTCCGTCCGCCGCCTGCAGCAGCTCCTCTGCGGGATCAGCCTCCAGCAGCCGCCGCTGACCGGAGCTCCGGGATCAGATTAGAGTCGTTATATAATCCGCTGATCTGTGCGCTCGGAGCGCTGCTGTCTGCGGAGCTGAGGGTTCGGTTCGGTGTGTGTTCTGCTGTAGAGAGACTATTCCGTCCGTGTTCATGCCAGATCTGCAGCGCTTCAGTTTTCCGTACCATAGCATGAATCCTTTGTTGGGGGGCACCGCGCACCTCCAGCCGCCGCAGCAGAGCCACACGCCCGGACACCCGGACTCCCCCTCCGGCCTCCTGCCCGACCCGGTGTTCGGAGCGGCGGACCCGGCGTCCTTCCTGCTGGGAGAGCATCCGGGCTCCGGGGCCGACCTCCCCGCCCCTCCGCCCTTCCTGCACCACAGCCCCGGCGGCGGCGGCTTCCCGCACCGCGCCGCGCCGCACCCCCCCGCCGCCATGGCGCTGCGGAACGACCTGGGCTCGAACATCAGCGTCCTGAAGACCCTGAACCTGCGCTTCCGGTGCTTCCTGGCCAAAGTGCACGAGCTGGAGCGCCGGAACAAGGTGCTGGAGAAGCAGCTGCAGCAGGCGCTGGAGGCCCAGCAGGCCGCTCCGGGCGGAGGGGAGGCCGGCGGGGCGCGCACCCAGGAGGCCGCCGTGCAGACCGGCTTCGTGGGCACCATCCCGCTGCGGCCCGGTTCGCTGCCTTTCCACAACACCAACAACTCGGCCCGCAGGCCCACCTCCCTGTTCCCGCCCGGCACCGGCACCGGCACCGGCCTCCCCCCCGCGGCCTCCGACGGTTCGGCCCAGACCTGCGCCCCCCACCCCGCCATCACCGTCAGCCAGGCCTCCCCCTGCCCGGACTCTCCAGGGCCCAAGCCGGCCTCCGGCAGCACCAACCCTCCGCCCCGCTTCCTCCCCGGAACCATCTGGTCCTACAACCACAGCCGCCGGTCCGGGCCCGGAGCCGAGCGGCTGAGCAGCCCCGGGGTGTCCTGGGTCCACCCGGACGGGGTGGGGGTCCAGATCGACACCATCACTCCGGAGATCAGAGCGCTCTACAACGTCCTGGCCAAAGTCAAGAGGGAGCGGGACGAGTACAAGCGGAGGTAGGCGGACCGGGACCGGGCCGGGTTACTGGACCAGGGGCAGTAATCTGTGGACTGGGTCAGGCTAGGGGGGCAGATTGGTGGAGCGGGGACAGGTTGAAGGGCAGCACTGTGGGGTAATGTTGTGTACTGGGGCAGTATTATGGGGCAGTACTGTGTTATGGGGCATTTTTCTGGGGCAGTCCTGTATTATGGGGCAGTTTTCTGGGGCTGTCCTGGGTATTTGTGCCTCCCCCTGCAGCAGCTGCAGAGCCTCCACAGCAGCTGACTCAGCTCTGGGCTCCATCAGTCTGAACAGCTGCTGCCACAAATACCCCAAAACACTGTCAGGGGGCAAATGTTGGGCTTACTGAGGAGGTTGATCTGAAGCTGCACCTGATGAGTCCTGAGACCTGAGGAGGCTGAAAGTCTGATCCAGAACAAGCTGAGCTCAAACAAATGTCCTGCAGTGCTGCAGCGGTTCTGGTCGGTACCGTGGACATCAGGCACTAGAATCCTTCACATGTTTGTGTCTAAAATGTCAGAACCTGTGGATCAGAGTTTCCTCCAACGTCTGGTTCAGTCCAGAGATGTTCAGTTCAGTGTCAGAGGAAAGAACCCAGAGAACCTTCAGACTGAAGGAGCTGAACCCAGAGTTCTGACTGATTCTGTTCAAACCCGATCAGCTGCTGGAGGCGACCGAACCAGAGCTACAAACCAGGATCCATCCAGAACCTTGTCTGGGTTTAAACTGGAGCTTTTTCTCCTGGACTTTGGTTTGATGGAGCTTCATAGTGGAGCTGAAGCTAATTATGAGCTCCACTGGAGATGTTCTGGATGGATCCATCAGATGTTTGGTCTACAATACCAGAAAACGTTCACTGAAGAAGCTGAAACCACTGAACACTGAACAACTCGTTAATTCTTCTGATCATAGTTTCAGTGAGACGGTGACGATGATGTCTGATTAAAACAGAACCACAGAGACTTCTCTCAATCATCTACATTAAATAAGATCCTTGTTGAATGTGTTTTATTCTAAATGAGCAGGTCCAACAGGTGAAGCCACACCTGTAGTAAAGGTGACGTTTCACTGCTGCTCTTTGTTCCTGTGATTAGAGACCAAATACTTCAAACTGGAGCTTCAGCACTGATCAGTCATCAGGTAGCTGAAGAGCTGAGCTACAGGTGAGTTAATGAGACGGTAGTCCTGGTACCGCTGCCCCCTGATGGTCACCAGGTTCAGTCGGTCTGGTCTTCGGTGGATTCCACCTTCAGACTCTCAGATGAAACGTCCCGTCGGCTGTTGGTGGGTTGAACTGCAGCTTCATGTCTGCATTCCTTCACATTATGAGCGAGTGAGCACTCATGCGTTCATCACTGAGCTCTTTGTGTCCGAGTCCAGACGGACTTTCTGTCTGTGCAGAACCTGAAGAGCTTCTACAAACCCGCCATGTATTGGTCCCCCTGTGAGGACGGCATTGGACTGGTTCTGGATGAAGCCTGGTGGTCCGGCTGTCACCATCACACTGCTGCAGACAGGAGAACCCTAACCCGTCACAACATTTAGCTCTTCTGAAAAATACAGAGATTATCAGCAGAAGACTTAAATCACTGGAAGTGGTTCTGCATCGGCATAGAAAACAGAAGGAAACTGGACAAAGCTGCTAGAAGCAGTTTGGAACCTTCATGTGGTCTGAAGACCTCCAGGTGGGCTTTTCTCTGTGGACTCCTTCAGACCTGTGAAGGATCAAACTACCAGACAGGAGCTGATCAGACATCATCAGCTGCTTTCCTTCCTTCATGTTGCTGCTCATGTGGAGCTGCAGCTCAGTACCGTCCGATAAACTCCTGGACCTGGATCCAGAGTGGAGGAGGTTCTGGTAGATAAAATCAGAATGAAGCTGCAGCTCATTCACAGGATTCTCTGTGAGACCTCCTGAACCCTCAGCGTGGGTCCTGCTGCTGCTCTGTTTGGTTCTGTTGTTCAAGGACACGTTCTGATCCGCCTCCAGCACACAGCTCCCCCTCCCTGCCTCCCCCTCCCTCCATATCTGCATTGCAGCATGCGCTGCAGCTGCGGCTGCTGCAGCTCGTCCTGCACGCCCAAGCACTTCTGATCCAACAGCTGCTGAACCACCAGCACCGGCTCGCTTGTTTCCTGGAGGTGGAACGGGCCGCGAGCTCTGTAGTAAACGGGTTCTGTATTGAACGGGTTCTGTAGTAAACAGGTTCTTTATTAAACAGGTTCTGTAGTAAACAGGTTCTGTAGTAAACGGGTTCTTTATTAAACAGGTTCTGTATTAAACGGGTTCTTTATTAAACAGGTTCTGTATTAAACGGGTTCTTTATTAAACAGGTTCTGTATTAAACGGGTTCTGTAGTAAACAGGTTCTGTAGTAAACAGGTTCTGTATTGAACAGGTTCTGTAGTAAACGGGTTCTGTAGTAAACAGGTTCTGTATTGAACGGGTTCTGTTTAGCCTGAGCAGCAGGAGGTCCAGGTGACATCACAGCTCTCTCAGTGCGGGTGATGAGCTGATCCGGGCAGCGGCTGCACCGGGCCTCCTGACAGAACCAGATGATTTCTGTTCAGGCAGCTGCTGAGTCCAGCTTCAGTGTTTCATGAGGACCAGTTCAGAGTCCAGTTCTCTGTTTGAGGTCGTTTAGAAATCGAGTGTTTCTGGATCTCAAACGGATCTGAGGTCATCTTCTCGGATCAATCAGCCGTTAAACTGATCAGCTGTTAAACTGATCAGCCGTTAAACTGATCAGCTGTTTCGAGAATCCAATGGTTATTCAACAGAAACGTTCTAAACTCAGGTTCCAGCTCCTCCAGTGAAGGTTCTCTGGGTTCTTTCCTCTGTGACAGTAAACAGAACATCTCTGGACTGAACCAGGAAACTCTGCTCCACATTTTTCACCATTTAAAGACATTTTAGAACCAAACAGCTGATCGATTGATCCAGATACTGATCAAAGTTAAAAATATTTGACAGTCTACTTGTTGTGTCCAGATGAAGAGCAGTTTGGCGTTCAGCCTCCAGGTGTTCTCCGGGTTCTCACACCTGTCTGCATGACGCTGACTAAACCCTGATCTGTGTCTGTCAGGTGGGAGGAGGAGTACACCATGAGGATGGACCTGCAGCAGAAGATCACAGACCTGCAAGAGGTAACGAACCACTGGCTTCACCTGAAACCACCTGGAGCTTTACCTGTTGGTCACACCTGAGTCAGGTTTTCACTGAACCAGGTTTAGATCTTCCTCCTTCTCAGTGGAGTCCCTTTGGTGTGTTATTATCTGAAGCCTTTCCAGCCTGCTGCTGGGTTCAGAGTCCCGGTGAAGGTGTGGGTTAGCAGGAAGTCCTCTGAGGTGATGGAACCGTGGAGGTGGAGGTGGTCTGATGCTTCACCTGCAGCGTGTTCACCCACAGCCTGCTGCTGGTGAAGCACTCGACCCAGACTGCTGACCGCTTCCTGTTTCTGAGCTACATTCAGTCCTGACTCGCAGCTTCTGATTGGTTCCTTCGTTCTGTAACCGCTGACCACCAGCTGGTTAACAGCTTAACTAGGTCAGTACTAAAACATGGACAGGTTCTGTTTTTATTCTTTATCTGCCGCCGTCGCCATCGTCGAGCAGCAGACCTCCATATTTGGGCTTCCTACAGTGTCTTTGTGCACTCGCTGGTTTGTTGGTTTCCTGTTTGTGTGTGTGTGCGCACGTGCACGTGCACCGTTGCCAGGAATCAGCCTGTGACCCGGTTCAGCAGCTGCAGACCACAAACAGCCTCCACAGAACCAGACGTGTTGCATGAACAGGTGAACATGCAGAGGAGAGCGTTGCCACAGCAACACAGGCTGTACCATGACGACACACGTCCACAACAACCGCCTGCAGCAGGTTCTACATTCAGGATTCACTTCCTGTGTGTGTGTGTGTGTGTGTGTGTGTGTGTGTGTGTGTGTGTGTGTGTGTCTTGCAGGACCTGCAGGAGAGCGAAGGTTGTCAGGACGAACTGGCTCTGAGGGTCCAGCAGCTGAAGGCCGAGCTGGTTCTGTTCAAAGGCCTGATGAGCAACGTGAGTTCAGTTTGAGCAGATCTGGAACGTTTGTGCTTCATGGATGCGTTAATGTTCCTCACAGCTTCATCCAGACTCCGCCTTTGACATGTGGGGCTGCAGGTGGAGGAGAAGCCTGACGTTTAGTTCCTGTGACGTCAGTGAGGACAGCAGGAGGCACTTTGACCCGCTGGGTCATCGTTTCATCACAGTGACTGTTTGTGTAGAGCAGGGGTGTCGAACTCCGGTCCTCCAGGGCCACGATCCTGCATGTTCTAGATGTTTCCTTCTTCCAACACACCTGATTCACATGATCAGGATCGTTATCAGGCTTCTGCAGAGCTTGATGATGAGCTGATCATTTGAATCAGGTGTGTTGGAAGAAGGAAACATCTAGAACATGCAGGCTGTGGCCCTCCAGGACCGGAGTTCGACACCCCTCGTGTAGAGTCTGGACGTGTTTCAGAGGAGAAGATAAACTTGTGGTGCCACATATTGATCAGAACACACACAGTGAGGCTGACGTAGGACACATGACTTAAACACCAGAGCAGAGACGTGATGGAGACAACTGACGGCCACCAGACCTCGTTTCTAAAAACGTTGTTCTTTGGTTTCACGTGTGCACATCACTGATTCTAGCAGTTTGGATCCGTCCTCACGTGGTGTAACTTTGACTGAAACCGTTTTCATCTTGGGTTCACTGGGTTTGGGTCAGGCCTCTCACAGAACTTAGTGCTGCTGATGTAGAAGGTCCAACACTGGTGCTGTTTCTCTGCTCATGTGGAGCTGCAGCTCAGCGAGTTAAAGTTCTAAACACGTCCACGAAGCCTGAATCAGACTAAAAGATCTTTCTGTGACTTTTCCTCGAGGATAATGAGAACCGACAGTTTTCTTCTTGGACCGAGCAGCAGAACTCGTTGTGTTTTGTGCCTCTGAGGTTCTGATGAACAGAGTTGTGTGTCTGTGCATCCAGAACCTGTCGGAGCTGGACAGCAAGATCCAGGAGAAAGCCATGAAGGTGGACATGGACATCTGCAGGCGCATCGACATCACGGCTCGGCTGTGTGACGTCGCCCAGCAGAGGAACTGTGAGGACGTGATCCAGATGTACCAGGTACCAGTTAGTCCGGTTCTGGTTCCGGTTGTGGTCGGCAGGTGCGTCGTTCTGATTGTGCTCGTATCCTTCTGCAGGTTCCCAACAACCAGCCGGCCCTGAACTGCCGCCGCAAACAGACGCCGCTGTCCTTCAACGGCAGCGAGTGCGACGACACGGTCAGCACCTCGGAGAGCGACGGCGGGTTGGTCCGGGACGACGAGCACGGAGGCTCAGCGGCCAATCAGATCAACGAGGAGATGCAGAGGATGTTAAACCAGCTGTGAGTGGTCCAGATGAGTCATGTGATCAGACAGGGGTTCATCATCATCATCGTCACCACCATCATCATCACCACCCTGCACTTTACTAATTAATACTCTGTGTGTGTGTGTGCGCGTGTGCGTGTCTCTGTGCGTGTACGTGTGTGTGTGTGCGTGTGCGTGTGTGTGTGTGCGTGTACGTGTGTGTGTGTGTGTGTGTGTGTGTGTGTGTGTGTGTCAGCCGTGAGTGTGAGTTTGAGGACGACTGCGACAGCCTCGCCTGGGAGGAGACGGAGGAGACACTGCTGCTTTGGGAGGACTTCCCAGGATGCACTCTGCCTCCTGACCCCGCCCACCCACCTGGAGAGGTGAGCTGCACACGATGTAATCTGATTACAACAGCCCAGATCCGTCTCCTTGGCAGCTGACTGACCTCCGTGAGTTCCAGGTTCTGTTAGAACTGCTCTCAGTCTGTAGACGACCTGCTGAGGTCCAAACCAAACTTTGGAACGAAGGAGAAAAGTGACTTAGAGGCTGTGAGGGTGATCTGCTTGTTAGACGGGCCACTCCAGAACCTGCTGGTCCACCAGGAGCTTTACCAGAACCGTCTGTAGAAAACATGCAGACGTCTGTTGAGCAGCGGTTCTCGTTGGAGGTGATGGAAGCAGCAGAAAGTCAGATAGCTGCTCCCATCAGGGAGTCTGTCACCGCCTCAGGCTTTAGATGATGTTTGAATATCTGCTGATGTCCTCTAAAACCTTCAACTTTGAGACGCTGTGTTTATGCCCAGGCTCTGCTGGTTTATGAGCCTTGGTGCAGAGCAGCTGGACCACGTTCGGGTCGATAGATTCTCAGACTGCTGACCTTCAGAACCCACACATCCGTCTGGATCGGTGTTCGCTGTGTTTGTTTCCCAGAAACGCGTGTCGTGTTTGTTTTGTGCCTCTGTGCTGCTGCGTCAGGAGAGGAACCTGAGCGCAGCGTGAGCAGCTGAGTGTCTGAGCAGGTTGTGTGACGATGTTTCATCCGTGTGTCAGCAGCAGGACGACTGTCTGGAGAAGGTGATCAGCGACACCGAGTGTCTGTTCAAGTCCCGAGAGAAGGAGTACCAGGAGACCATCGACCAGATCGAGGTCAGACGCTCTCCAACACGTTTCATAGCCGCCGTTAACTCTTTCACTGTAGCTGGTGTGAACATGTTTGTTGTCATGTCTGCTCCTCTGTTTCCTGTTGGCTTTGAGGTTTGTGAACATTTTTCTTCTAAGGTCTCTTCAACGATGCCTCAGCATGTTTCTGGTTCCCCCATCTTTAACGGAGCTTCATGCTGCTTCTGTGATTTTCTAAAAACCTGAAACTCTCCTGTTCTGCTGTTAAACGCACCGAGCGCTCTGTTTTCTGTTTGTGTGTCTCATGTGTGAACCAACTCTTCCATGTAAAGCAGAGCTGCAGATGTTTTCAGCAGCTGTCTGACCTCGTGGGTGGACGTAAACATCTGGATTGTGTTTTTTTGTGACCTCAGCTGGAACTGGCCACAGCGAAGAGCGACATGAACCGACACCTGCACGAGTACATGGAGATGTGCTCGATGAAGCGAGGCCTGGATGTTCAGATGGAGACCTGCAGGAGGCTGATCACTCAGAGCGGAGACAGGTGACCACCGGCAGCTTCGTTAACCGGCCTAACCATGACTAACTCGTCTTGTTTTACTCTGGTTTTCATTTCAGTTCACTTTTATCACCAATAGCACACCGTCTCTATTTACCTGAAACTAATACAGATGTTAGAAGTTTTTATCCTCAGAAATGACAGAATGTATCATGAATGAACTGTGTGAACCCCAGACGCAGCAGAAGCACAGAGAAACAGGGAAACACTTTAATCTGCTCAGTCTGTGGAGACAAAATCACATGAATGAGACCGAAACTGGAACAAAACAAGAAAAATGAGACACAGAACGTCACAAGCGAGACAATAAATGAGCATTAAATGAGCAGTAAGAGACAGAACTGTCCAAAGAGGACACAAACCCTCAGAATGGCCTTACATTTGTCTTCAGAGTCTGTAGAGGCTGAAACGTGGAGGTAGTTTAACACCTGCAGGACCAGGAGACCACCGTCCCTCCACTGATGGGACACGCCGGACATGTTGGTTAAATACGTTTTCAGAGAACTGTAACTTGTTTTTCTGGTCTTCTGACAGAAGGCATCTCAGAGTTCTGTCTCGTCATGTGGTTCTGGTTCTGAGCTACTCAGACGGTTAAATGTGGACTAAACGATGAACTACGTGTTTCTCTGTTCGTCTCTCAGTAACTCTGCAGCTCCGACGGCTCCCGACGACGGCGACCAGAGAGAAAACGACAGATCTTCATCGTCCCCGCCCTCGTCTTCCTCCAGGTCTTGACACCTGGCTGTGGTCACATGACCTCTGGCTGCAGGACCGCACCCCCGTAACTATGGCAACACCATGTTTACATACGAGCATCTTTATATCGTCATGTCGTTTATGTTGGTCCGAACCAGTCGGAGGAAAGTGACCGAGTCCGGATGTAAGACGAGTGAGTCCTGTGACGGATGAAGAGTTTTGTTAGATTATTAGACACCGTTAGCCGTCTGTAGACGATACCTCGCCACAGGAAGTAGCGTCTGACTCATTCACTCTACTGTAGTAACCATACCGATGTGGAGGCCATCTGCTGAGGCCTCTGGATCTTTACAGTCACTCATCCACCGTCCATCCGTCCACCAGTACAGTCTGTCCACCGCTCCATTAGCAAGTCTGGATTCAAACATTGTAAGATGTCATGAGTCAGCATTTTACTGCCTCACAGCTGCAGCATCACTTTGAGTTCCGTCATCAAACCAGAAGTAGATCCAAACATGTTCAACGAGACAGAACCAACACCAGAACTGTGTTTCTGTCTCCGACCAGCAGCACGCCTCCTTCACGATGGGTTCAAATCTCCAACACGCTGTTAGAGGTTCTAGTGAAGGTCCGAGGGCTGAGGACCGGCCTTCTGGTGGCCCATGGCGGGACTCCAGCTCATCAACTCACCTCTAAATGAAACGAAGCAGCTTCCTGCTTGTGTTGCATCAAAAACAGTGAAAAGGTCTCGTTTAGGTAATTATTAGCTGTGAAATACCTGGTCAGGCTCCCCGACAAAAATCTACCTTTAATCTGTCAATAGACACCAAAAACAGCTTCCAGTGCAAATCTTAGTAAATGTAGTTTAGTTGTAGGCTGAGGACGAGGAGGAACCTGCATCGACTTCTCCGTAGAGGGAGCAAAATAACTTTCGGCACCAACAAGTTGATGATTGATGTGACGCAGGAGGCCGCCGGCCGTCAGGCGGCACGCTCAGCTGGATGCATGTTAGTGTTCAGGGTTAGATTCAGCTGCGGTGGCTGAAGTCCACCGAGTCGTGGAGAAGCTGTTAGCAGTCGGTGGAGAGCCTGCATGAGACGAGCAGGTCCAACACAGAGGAACAAAATAATCATCATGTAGCCGTCGAGTGCCAAAACACAGGAACAGGTCAGAGTGAGTCAACGGGACACGGCGGGAAAAAAAAGACTGAAGTCGCTGCCGAAGCTCTTGTGGTGCTCCATGTATATAATAAAGCTGTTTTTGAGCCTGTTTGCACTGAGAGGGAAGCAGAACAGTAGAATCTGAATCAATCAGCACCGGTACTGGACCGACCAGAACAGACGACGCTGGAAACGGACTCTTCATGTCTTCTGCTCCTTTCACACATACCTCATTGTTATTTCTGTTGTGGACACGTTAAACCACAAACTGCTGCAGGAAGCTGTGCAGGGCGCCGCCTCTGCTCCTGAGCTCACGTCCCTACATGTAGTTCTGCTGTAGTTCTGCTGTGAAATTATGTCTTGTTTCAGTAAGTTAGGAGGATTTAAAGTGACGCATGTTGGAATCAGCTGATCAGACGGAGGATGTGGAGACACTGACCACCGTTTCCTCTGTACTGTGTTACCTGCACACACTGAGTGAGTCTATGTATGCATGTGTCAGTGTGTGTTTCTGGTGTTTAGTCTGAGGGTTTTTAAAAAGGCTTTAACTGACGCACAACACCAAACAGAACGAACAGAACAAGTCCAGTATGAAGCTGTTTAACTTCAATCTGTGACATTTGAGCCAAATCAAACCAGACCAATCAGACGATATGGAGGTTTTTTCCATTGGGACTTTCCTTTATGAGTGTGTGGCGGCCGAGTAAAGTCAGTTTAAAAATACCTCAGAACAGCCAACTACTGAAATGCAAATGCTTTAGCGAAATGACGTCGATGGCTTTGACATTATCTGTGTAAAGGAAATATAGCTTTGAATATATACTTGTGTTTAAAGACTGCAGAAGAAGACTGACCTCAGTCACACACCTGAAAAGAAACTTGCAAAAGCTTTGAACTCACTCGATGACCTGACTGCTCTATTTAGCTTCTCAGAGGAGATTTTGGCAGTTAAGAATTAAAATACCTTCTTTTTTTTTGTCTGTCTACAATAGAAAGTCTCAAAATATTCATTTAAATTTGTGTCACACAAGAATTTGGCATCTTCCTGGTTCTGGATCCAGATGTGTGACTTTGCAGCTTTAAACATGAGGACAGAGTAACTGTGGCTGAACAGCTTCAGTGTGTAACGAGAGAGACTGAACGAATAAAAGATGCAACTGAGCAACAAACACAAGCCTCATGATTATGTTCACCTCAAACGGTCAGAGTTCAGAACTCCTCATGGTTCTACAAGGAGCTGAGAGCAGCAGAACCTTCTCAGTTCTGGACCTCTGGACTGTGTCTATCTATGTCTGCATCATGGCTCCACATGGAGAAGACCTGAACAGAGGAGGAGAAACATCTGACTGAGAGACTGGACAAAGATGGA